GTGGTTTTGTTATTCTTTGTAATTCAAAGTTGAAACAAAACAAAATCATCTTAAAGCTATGTTTGACTTTACAGATAGGTCATGATTTTCTGATTTTATGCCTTATATTCATACCTAACTTGCTACACAGCACTCTGGAAGCTAATTTAGTCAATAAAGAGGCTTGAAAAAAAATGAATCACGAACCATTACTGTTCAGTGCACACAGGAAGGTACTATTAATAACCATAAAGGCAAAAGGAGAGCATCTGCAACCCGGGGACTAAAATTAGTAATAGTGTTGAAGGGAGTTTTACCAAACCGCATTTCCAGAAGGCAGCCGCAGGCTTCTCTTGTGTAAGGAAGACTGATCACCTCCATTAGCCTAGAAACAAAAGCAAAGACTTCTGTATGAGTGCATTTAATTATAATGTTTATCTAATCACTCTACAGCCATTTAGATAAACAAGATGGCTTAGAGCACATGCTTTTCTGTGAGTAGTAAAGGGTAGCAGAGGATGTTTTTGGTAAAAAGTGCATTTTAAGCCAAGTGATCCAATATCACAAGTAAAAATTATTGGCATTTTAAATTGGTGTTTATAAAAAATGTAGAGAAGTAAAATAAAGTAAAAACAGTGAAGTACAGATACTGCCCTTTCTGCCTTATAATCAATGGTAACTGTAATGTTTAACTATGATACCTAACACCTAATCAATATGTATTTTCACCTGTATTAACTCGTTTATTCTCATAATAACCCTGTAAAGTAGACTACTGTCATTATCACCTCTTTATAGATAAATGAAAGCATAGAATGCTTAAATTACTTGTACAAAATCACTTAGTTGAATGAACATAAGAAATTTGGTTGGATGCCCTGGTATCCTAAGTGACAGTATGCACCTAAAGAGTGTGTGTGTGTGTGTGTGTGTGTGTGTGTGTGTGTGTGTGTGTGTTTGTGTGTGTGTGTGTGTGTGTGTTAATTCTTCTATCATATTGTGAGAATCACTAAAAATTATTTTGGATGAGATTAGCAGAAGAATTTTTTCTGAACTCAAACTCCATCTTTTCATGTGTTATTTCTAATGTACTTTTCTTCCTTTTTTATAGTTGGAATTAGAATAATTTGGACCAAGTTTATTGGTACAGAAAATGATAGAAAATGATATTTTTCTCATTTCATTTTTAATTTATAGAGTCAGAATATCTGCTTCTCGTGTTTAAAAACATAAGAACTGAACAGCCAGGACCCTTCTTTGGGCCACCAAAGATTGGCACAGAGATCTTTTTAAACTTTACACACAATCATACAGCCTCTGAGAACTGTCCACTGATTCCAGTTATCAGATATGTTGACTCAGGAAAGAACAGTGGCTTTCTTGGCTATCCTTGATGTCTGTGATATACAAAGTAAATATTTTAGATGAAAACATATTTTTCCAATTTGGAATTGACTTACAAATGAGGAAAGTTATTTGCCAGAGAGAGTCCCGATACAGGCGTAAATAACCACATCCACTTGAACACCTAGCTCTGCAAAAATGTCTCTCCTATGAGATTGCCATTTTTACATGGTATTTGTAGCTTAGCACTTTCATTGAGTCACAGTTAAAGTGTAAGAGTAAATACACAGCCAGGAATGCAGTTACACATTATGCCCTTTTATCCACTAGCACGTATGATTACTTTGGACAGCAGAGAACATGGCCTGAGGAATGGTACACATGACAAACAAGGTGAAAGGAAAGCCATATCACCATATCACCAGGTTTAGATGGGGGTTAAGAGAAATAGGACACTGGACATCAGGACTGAGGAGGGTGGGGGTGGAATAGTTGTCATGATATGAAGGCAAGGCTACATGGTGCTTTGGAGGACACATAGGTCCTGAAAAACAAAACAAAGAGAAACACATAGCACAATGTAGGTTGCTTCATTTGTTTCGAGTCTCCTCACTTTCTGACTATACTGCTAGAAATGGCACCAAGTCACATCTAGAAGCATCATATTATAGCTGAAAGAGCAGGAGTTACAGGGTCAAAGAGACGTATTCAAATCTAATTCTATCAGCACAAGCTTTTGGATAAGTTACCAAATATTTAGGTTTTCCCATCAATATCATATGGAAATTAAATTATTAGCCTAGAAAACATAAAGTGCCTCCTATCATGCATATAGCTATAAGCATGACTTATTTATATGTACAGATAGTAGCTACAGAAATCATATGTATGTGTGTATACCCATTTGCACATGGGTGTATTCATTTTTACTATAGTGCTGTCTTTCTCCCTTATTATGTTTCCTCTACAATAAACTGGCCATATTTTCTCTCTTTTCATTTTAGTCATCTCTTAGTATCCTTGGGCGATTGGTTCTAGGACCTCTTACAAATACTAAAATCTGCCAATGCTCAACTCCTTCACATAAAATGGCATGATATTTGCATATAACCTACTTGCATTCTCCTGTATTTTTCAAATCATCTCTGTAACATATAGAATACCTGATAAAATGTAAATGCTATGTGAGTAGTTATTATACTGTATTCTTTAGGGAAAAATAGCAAGGAAAAAAATGTCTCTAAGTGTTCAGTTATAGAGGCAGTCCCCATCCCCAGAATATTTTCAATCCATGGCTAAACTAAATCTGTGGATGCAGAACCTGTTTTATGGAGGGCTCACTGTATATATTTACTTTGAAGCAAAGCAAAGAGAGTGCTAGCATATTACAGAAAGCACTAGGGTTCCTTTTATGTTACAACAAGATGAAAGTTGAGTTTTATATTTTGTACAAGACTGAAGAATGAACCAGAAAATAGTAGTGATGATAAGCATGATGATGTCAGGCATAGTTCCAGAGGTACCTACATGTTACTTATTTTTCACAACAGTTTTAGTAGGTAAGCTTTTTTGTCTCCATTTCACACATGAGGAAACAGATTTAGAGTGGTTAAGTAAGTTGCCCATGGTCTCAGTCAGTAAATGATAGAGCTGTCTAGTACAAAATCCTGTGTTCTGTGACTATGTACAACCAATCTGGCACTTGGGCACAACTTGCATTCATCAATGTATATTAGGCTAGTAATAGACATCTCCAGTGTCTTTGTTTCCCTTCTGCTGACACAGGCCAGTGCAGCTGATTGTAGCAGCTACAGCCTGTGTATTCCATTCCTTTAAACCCCTTGTCACCAACTTCCTCACTCCTCTGGCCTCTGATACCCATCAACAAGTGAGCCCAGCTGGAGAATCCTCAAATATCCCTTAATGAGAGCAAGAACCATGCCTATCCATCTTGCCCAGATCAAGTAGAGTTTCTCAAAATAATAGACCCTCTACTCTGAGAAGCATGAACGAATGGTGGAAAGCAAAACAGCCAAACTTCCTGATATGGATGATGAAGAGAGATTGTGGCTAAGGCACAAAGAGGTTTACCAAGTATAAATTGTAAAATTTTCCCCACAGCTATAATCTTAGCAATAGTGGTTAGGTTATACAGTTATATCAAAACAACTAAAACAGGATTCCAGTGAAATTTCATGTTTTGTACTATACGTGGATTATCTTGGAGCCCAACCACCATTTACAAAATGTTTCTCTTAGAAAATGCATTCTGAATGGCAAAATAGCAGGAATATGAATGACTTTTTGGAAAACAAACTATTCATTAATTGAGGTACATGTAGAAGGCCATACTTTTGTTAGTTGTCTTTGCTTATATTCTCTTCTCAATAGGTTATAAAGTTATAAATAACATGTGGTCAGAAATTGTATTTTCATATGACAACAGAATGCATTACAATTCTTATTACACATATACAGCACAATTTTTCATATCTCTGGTTGTATACAAAATATATTCACACCATTTTTTGTCTTCATACATGTACTTTGAATAATAATGATCATCAGATTCCACCAGCATTTATAACCCCATGCCCCTCCCTTCCCCTCCACCCCTGTGCCCTATCTAGAGATCGTCTATTCCTCCCATGCTTCGTCTCCCTATCCCACTATGGATTAGCCTCCTTTTATCAAAGAAAATATTCGGCTTTTGTTTTTATGGGGATTGGGCTAACTTCACTTATTATTATCTTCTCCAACTCCATACATTTACCTGCAAATACCATGATTTTATTCTCTTTTATTGCTGAGTAATATTCCATTGTGTATGTATGTCACATTTTTTTATCCATTCATGTATTGAAGGGCATCTAGGTTGGTTCCCCCTCACACATCAGATAGAGCACTAATCTCTAGGATATATAAAGAACTCAAAAAGCTAAGCACCAAAAAAACAAATAACCTAATCAATAAATGGTCTAAGGACTTAAACAGACACTTATCAGAAGAGGATATACAATCAATCAACAAAATATATGAAAAAATGTTCATCATCATTAGTATTTAGAGAAATGCAAATCAAAACCACTCTAAGATTTCATCTCACTCCAGAAATTGTAATTTATATGGCATAAAAATACAACTGTTCTCAAATCTTTCTTTTTAAAGAATCTAGTATTGATCATGGCATTGTATTCATGGCACTCAGAAAAAAATTGTTTATTGATTATTTGATGTTTGATAGGATTATCACTTTTCACAAAGAATAGTACATCCTGAGATAGCTATGGTTCTGACTTAATTCAGGCTCTAATTTTGAATTTCATAGCAGTTATAAATTATCTTTACAATATGATTTACTTATATTTTTAAAATTGATATGGCTATACAATATTAACTATAATGGGTAAGTGGTATAACAATAGATTTGGATGCTTATAATTTTTTCATTTATAATTTAGAGGCAAGTGGTTCTGTTAGGACCTCTCATTCCAGGAAATACTATAGAGTGGTCGAGTATCACAGAAATATATCTGTCTTGATTTTTGGAATAGTCTATCCTAATTGCTTGTCAGCTGGAGAAATTCTGTGAGTGGGGAGAAAGGACCATTTTCATATGTGTTTTGGGTACTGTGACAAAAAGCTATTTCAGAAAAGACCTTATTTTGTCTTTTCAGATGTAACTGTGTGGAGCCACATAATCCCAGCAATGATACATTGAAGGAATGGAGGGAATCCAATATTTCGGCCTCTGACATAATTTGGGAGAACCTGACTGTGTCAGTAAGTAAACCACTGAAAAATAAATCCTATCTTGAATCACTTTTGTTGATTGAAATTCTGAATCAATTATTGCCAGTAAAGTAAAAGGTTTGAATGCATAAAATTTTGAAAGGGATAACTTTAAGTTCCTCCATTTTAGGTATCCATCAGTAAACTGGGGTTTCACTCACTATCAAATGAGAAGGTTTTTCTAATAGTTTGTAGGCCTGAAATGCTCTGAAGGCACACATAAAAAGAACAATATGTGTGCATATATTTTAGCTTGCCCCATAAATATTTAAGATAGAACTATTTTAAAAAAACAATCATTATATATTTATCAAATATTTAAGTCATGCGATGAATTGAAAGTACATTAAATATGAGTGCTGTTGACCTAAATGAAATCACATGGCATGACTCGATCTGCCTTCCTTGTAAAGAACCCAGAATGTTTTTACTTTACTCTGATACACGGCTCCAGCTGCTCAGAATATATAGAGGGGGAAGGGATACTTTGGGTGGACAAAATCACTTTTCTTAACAGAATTCTGTTACTACCCTCCACAGAGCTTTCTTGTTTCCATTTTATTCTCATCTTCTATTCAAGAAAGGTGACCAACATATTTTTCACCAATAGTGTTAAATCCTATGCCTTTGTTTTATTTTCTTAGCCTTCTTTGCTTGCTTTCTTCTCAGTTTCATTTCTCAGTTCTTCTTCATCTATTTTAATGTTTGTGCATCTCTTTTTACATTTATATTTGCATTCTTTACTTCCATTCAGTGAAATCTTATCATTTGAAAAACTGAAAGTGTCCTACTTTTTATAAGCATTAAAATCTCTGAGAAGCTCTAGTTTCTTTTCAATTCTTCGCAGTTACCAACATTACAATCCAAAGCTTTAGCCACTTTACCTCCCTATGTAAGCTCAAATTCCATTGTGATCTTCAACACAAAACTGCATGAATTCTAGTTCATTTGATCAAACACATGCTATTTTAGTAAGTGGGCCAGATAGTTAGTGGAACATAGAAATCTTTATTTGTTGTTATACAGATACAAAACTCAAAACATGATTCTTATGTGACCTTTTGTCTATTTTCTCAATTTTCTAAAACACTAAATGTGAGCTTTCAGAATCAAATTACTTATCTTCCATTTTAAATTCTTCTTGACCTGAATTTTACTACCTTTATTCTTATGATAGTTATTTTCTCTAGAATAAGCCTGTACTTATTCTTGTTGTTCTCTTCTGTTATTGTCAGTTAACATTTATTCCTTTTCATCTATTTTTTTTAAGAGAGAGAGAGAAAGGATTTTTTAATATTTATTTTTTAGTTTTCGGCGGACACAACATCTTTGTGTGTATGTGGTGCTGAGGATCGAACCCGGGTGGCACGCATGCCAGGCGAGCGTGCTACCGCTTGAGCCACATCCCCAGCCCCTCATCTATTTTTTATGAGGAAAAAAATTGCCAGGTTGCTTCTGCTCAGAATCATTTAATTTGGCCAATAAAAGAAATGGTGAGCTGACCAAGAATTATTCAGAATTTAGGCATAGGAACATGGCGGATTTTTTCATCAGTGGCTCTTCAATCTGCATTCCTGTTTTGTAAACTGTATTGTATCTAAAGAGCCCCTTGCTGTGTTCCTTATTTTGATGCTCTCTTCAACAAGAAAATCCAAATCATCCCACCTCTGAATTATTTAACTTGATAATTTACACTTCATGCTTTATACTATTAGAATAACTTAATATTAAATAATAAAATTCATTCTATATATTAGCAAATCAGAAATAATAATCTTCTAAAAGATTTACAGCACAATTGATGTGACTAGCCATTCCTTACTGTCTGATACTAGAAGTTTTCTGATCAAGTGGAATATGGTGAAAAATATTTTTGCAATCAAAGCAAAGATAATACTTGGTGGTTTTTTCTTTTTTTATTTTTGAAGAAGTTTTTTATTAGGTGTTAACATTCTGGCAGAATTTTCAGATTATTTTTCATTAGTTAAAAGCAATTTTACAATGGGTAATTGCTAATCTTGACCAGCTATAGCTATTATCACCAAAAAGAATGCTATATAATGGTGGTGGGGGGGAGCAAAACAAAAACCTGTAATTTTTAAATCAGCGAAGAACATTAAAATTTGTCTTATACTGATTTTTTCTCAGTATAATCATGACATTCATCAAAGAATTTTATTAATAAAGTGCAGTTAAAGTTTATTTTATTTTATGAGTAGAGATATAACATTAAATTTACCTATTATTCATTTGCTGAGTCCCATATTGTTTATTTTTGAGTTGTTAAGTACCTCATGAATCATAATCTACACCTTGCTAACTAAGCAAGAGAAAAAGTCAAAGGACTTTTATTTGATTATTTCAAACTGCTATATGTAGACTAAGGTTTAAATATTTGATAAATATATGATGATTGTTTTTTAAAAAATAGTTCTATCTTAAATATTTACGGGCAAGCTAAAATATATACACACACATATGTATATATCTGAGTTTGACATATATATCAAAATCAGCCATTTTAAGGAATCCCTTTGCAAGGTTGCAATATTCATAAATAATTACCTAGCAATTGGTTAAGAATTGTTTTTGTGCCTGAATTACATATGTAGTTTGTACATATATTAGGGGCAGGACATTTATGCCAGCTTTAATAATTTATCAACTTATTTTTTGCCAACTTATAGAATTGTTGAAACTTAGAATGTGTTTGAAGAGTAATTAGTGGAAATCAGTTTGTCAACAAGCATTTTTTGAGAACCCATTGTAAGTGAAACCATATGTTAGACTCAAAAGAAGAGAGCAGTATTTGGAATTGGTTTTGACTCCTAAATTTCAGAATTTGCTGAGTGTGTGAGTGTGTGTGTGTGTGTGTGTGTGTGTGTGTGTGTGTGTGTGTATGCGTGTGTGTGCATGTGTGCTGAGAGTACAATTGATATAATGCTGAAAATAAATATTGAACATAGTAGTTCATAATTGCATATTTTTAAGTTAGCATACTGTCTCCTTGAAAGCAAGAAAAAAATAAATAATATTTTAAAATTTGCTTTGAATTAAAATAACAAGTCCAGTCTGTGCAATTTATTATGGATTATAAAAGAGAAAAATGAACCTTTAAATGGAATCTGTTTTAAGAATTGAGGATAAGACCTGGCCAAATCCAAGGAATATTTCGAAGACTTTTATACTTGCAAAAAGCCTGCAAATGCTCATAAATCAATAGATAATGTGCTTACAATGGAACTTTTAGCTCTTCTTTGTGCTTAGCCATTCTGCTTACCCATGATGTTGCTTAGTAATTGCTCTCCAGCATTTCTGGACAGGAGCAGAAGCGTAGATTGAAAAAAAACCACAAAGATTCATTTTTGCTACTTTATCTATTTTTATAGAGTTTTGAGAGAAAGGAAATTAAAGCTATAATTAAGGCCTGGGGGATTTTTCTGTGGTTTTTCAATTAGCCAAGTTATTGTGTTCTGTACTAGCTTAACATGGATAATTGGAATTCATCTTGCAAGAAAGGTATCCGCAATTAGTTTAGAATAGGGGACAGACTCTTTTAGACAGTTTAAAGTGTCTCAATCATATTTCTCAAGATTCTTAGGATTAGGTGTCTACCCTCCAGTAGATTTTGCTGTTGTTTTCTTGTTTTCAGATGACACTGTAGCTACTTGTGATTTATTCTAGAATCTTTTAAAGGTATTTTTGTTCTGCTATACAAGGATTCCAGTATTTGAGGTTTGATTCACTGTGAAGACTCTGTTGCTGTTCTATCCATCAGTCCATATTTTTCTCTAAAAACTCTTTGTATTATTGCAAAATTTAATTTCTGTTCAGGGACCAGAGTACCTCAAAAACCAATAAGGGGCATTTAACTTTTTTCTCTTTATTTATCTTTATTCTTAAAATAAAATATAATTTAGTAAGATTATTATCAAATTAAAATAGGAAAACCCCAAATTTATTTAAAGTCATTTTTTTCCTTTCAAAATATTTGATGTTTAAAATGCTGTTTTTCTTGAGGAAAAATTTTTTGACTTTGCTGCCACCTCATGGCTAAGGCTGAAATTAGAAATGGTTTTTCAGGGGTTTATAGAAATAAAGTAGCAGAAATAAAGATTGTGGGGAAGTCATAGTAAAAATGAAATTTATCTTGCTCAAGTAACTTTTTGCTCACTTGTTATTTAATCTAAATTCAAGAGTCCTATCTCTGACTCAATTTCATTTTAATAATTATGTATTGTAGTTTGTTGTTGTTGCTTGTCTTTCCAGGTGGTTGTAGAGTAGGTAATTTTTCAAAATAATTGTTCTTTAATATGTGATCATTTTCACTACAAGAATCTCATTTGTATCTCAGCTTTGCTGACACCCAGCATCAGTGAGGCCACAACAAATTGCTTAATATCTCTGTACCTCAGTTTCCTCAGATAATGAAATACAAATAATAATAACATCTACCTATACTATAGGGCAGGTGTGCAATTAATTAAATTGAGGCACTCAAATGCTTTGGCCTTGGGTCTGATGTTGGTAACTATTCACTATCAAATATATCATATTCTTAATAAATATGGTGTCAGGAACTTAGTTGATATTAGGTTTAAGAAATTTGATAAATCAGTAGTCTTGCAGATTTAAATTTAAATTTGTAAGAATAAACATTTTAAAAGGAGTTTGTCTTCAAATTTTACATACTATGTCTTTGATATTGCTCTTTATCTATCCAAATGGAAATCAGAAAGAATCTGTAATATCTGCTTAATCCTTGTGAGAATCACAGGCAAAAAGCTTCAGTTGTTTTAGCTGCTGCTGATTGGGAGATGTTGTTTTCTGAATGAAAAGATGCCCAGCTCTTTCTTAACATCCCATTTGTCTTACTTCTGTGGCAGGAGTGCAAATCGCTGCATGGAGAGTATGCTGGACGAGCCTGTGGCCATGATCACCCCTATGTGCCAGATGTTCTCTTCTGGTCAGTGATCCTGTTCTTTTCCACAGTTACAATGTCAGCCACTCTGAAGCAGTTCAAGACTAGCCGATATTTTCCAACTAAGGTACTTTGACTGTAATTTTCCTAATCCAAATGTAAGCCAATATACAGCATGTTATGGAGTCCTACATGTTTTAGGACAAAGGAAAGAGCAAGTGATGGAAGGAAAGGGGCCATAAAAGGACTTTTGTATGGCATGCCAGGTTAGAGGCAGGGTGGGATGAGGGGGTGATAAGGAAGCATTTTGTGATTCAGGTGCCAAGGAGGGCACCAGCCCTGCAGGCTTTTCTCCTGCCAGCCTCAAGGATCAACGCCCACTTTCCCACTTAGATTTTTGGAAATTCAAAGCACACACTGCATTACTGATTGTCACTTTCTTGCCCAGTGAACAGTGGGAACTATTCCAACCTGACAGATACCTCAGAGGAACCACTCTTACATACTCTAATTGGGGAAGCCCCTGCAAGACTCATTGGAACACTATTCTCTTTTTCGGCTTTTAAAGCGTCAGTCCCTCCCCCTAACCCTCCATGTTTGCATCTGCATATTTGGAAAGGAAAGTAAACAGAGAAACAGCCTAGTTCAATATTTAACACTGCAAAGTAACACCTATAATGTCTGATTTCGCCAAAAAAAAAAAAAAGTAAAAGAAACAAGGAAACAAGCTTTTTATGGATGAGCTATAGATTTTGACAAAAATTCTTCTGAGAAAATGTTTCAAGAACTGTTCCCTTCAGAAAGGGCTTCTGTTTTAGTCTCTTTCTTCCCTAAGGTGGAAGATTAATTTCTTCCCACTAAGCTTAATCTGATTAATACAAAATTATTTTTTGTAAGTTTAAACAGTAATCTTAAGCTTTTAAAAAATTATTTGTATATAAAGATCCTAAGAAAAAAACAGATCTTATTAATAATTGTGTAAGGATATTTGCTCAAAAATGGATTTTTAAATGAGAAATAACTTGAAAAACTGGCTTATGCAGAATACATTTAAAATTGAATAAATTTTAAATTTGCCTCCTCTGTTGTTTATATTACCAAGTGCCATACTTGTATCATAGATAAACTAAGTGCCATACTTGTATCACAGATAAACTAAAACATTGAGCTTCTTCAATAAAAACAGATACTTTTATTTTACAATGCCTTTGACTAATCATATTAAAATGTTTCCTGTGGGCTTGAAAAGGAGTCCTAAAATTTTGTCAACCTTATTCTGTGTTCTGAATTTTTACACACCCAGGTTCATAATAAAGTTAGATTTTAAGTAGGTATTTTAACAACACAACCACCATTATATCTATTCCATAATTCTTCATTCTGGAAATGTTAAGTGTGTACTCTCTGAAATGACAGAGATACATAAATATATATTCAGGTTCTGACAGACCTAATGGTAATATTATAGTATACATGAAATATATTATGATATTATGTCATAAAGTGTTTATAAAGTGTGACTCTAGATTATGTTCTGAGTACTTATTGGTATTTATAGCTCCTTCGAGTGACAAGTGTTCTTATTATTTTTAGGTTCGATCCATAGTGAGTGACTTTGCTGTCTTTCTTACAATTTTGTGCATGGTTTTAATAGACTATGCCATTGGGATCCCATCTCCAAAACTGCAAGTACCAAGTGTTTTCAAGGTGAATTTATCATAGCACTTAACATCTATTATCTATCTCTCCTTTTCTCTAGGTTCAATCTTCATCAAGATGAAGTCTGTAACCTTAGCACTTCGTATTTTCATGAAAATATATAATATACATCAGTAGAGCAGTAAATTAGCTACATGTAGTATGTTTAAAACTTTGGTTTAGTATTAAAAATAAATAGTAATCATAGAAATAAAAACCCAAGGATTGCTTGAAAAAAATTCCTGTCAACTTCCATAAAATCAACACTCTAAAAGATCAGGAAGGATTTTGAAGCTAAGGGAAATGCATTATCTTAAGACAGTGAGTAGGGCTTGAAAAATAGATTAAGATAGGCCTAGAACAGAATTCTGGCCTTGAGCCAGTTACTAACCCTCTCTGAACCTCAGTTTTCTCATTTGTAGAACAGGGGTGGGAAATTCCTCATAGTATTGTTGCCAGAATGAATTTCTTTGAGACTCATCTTCAGCATCATTCATGTTTAGAACTCTATCCTGAGCCTCTGATGTGACAAAATTATTACTCCATCTTCACACAATAGCCTATGCCTACATCTAAAATATTTTGTTTATATGTCTTTCGGTGAGTCTAAACTGAAAGAAGGTTCTGACTTAGTTATCTTTGTATATCAGTTTTAGAAGAGTAGTCAATGTATTATTTGTTAAAATAGATAAAATTTCCAATTGTAAAGGGTAAATATTGATTTTTTTACTGTAGGTATTGATTGAGAATATAGATTTTTGAGCTAATTTGTCAGAGTTTAAATTCCATCTCTATTACTTATTATTACTTACTTTGGGACCTTGAGCAATTTACTAGATCTGTATGCCTCATTTTTTTAAAATCATCTTCTTTAGAATGTTGTGAAGAAAAAGAATGAGTTAAAATAGTTAAAGCACTTAGAGTGATGACTGTTATCTTATAAATGCTTCTTGAATACCATGAATATTAATTATGGGCCACTCAGTTTGCCAGCTTATAATTAGGGATTTCCTGGTAGTATTTCTAAGAATTAATTTGATTCAGTATCTATTAATCCAGCTGCTAACATGTACACTCATTTATTTTCCTCAGCCTACCAGAGACGATCGTGGCTGGTTTGTTACACCTTTAGGTCCAAATCCATGGTGGACAATAATAGCTGCTATAATTCCAGCTTTGCTTTGTACTATTCTAATTTTTATGGACCAACAGATTACAGCTGTCATCATCAACAGAAAAGAGCATAAGCTAAAGGTATATTTTAACATCAATTTCAAAATAAGTAATTCTGATTTAACTGATAGTAATCAACTTTGCCTGTATTCTGTATTCATTTGCACATCGAAATACTAAAATCATATTTTGGGGTTCATAATTTTGGGGGGAATACAAGGGATTGAACTCAGGGCACTTGACCAATGAACCACATCTCAGCCCTATTTTGTATTTTATTCAGAGACAGGATTTCACTGAGTTGCTTATCGCCTTGCTTTTGCTGAGGCTGGCTTTGAACTTTTGATCTTCCTGCCTCAGCTTCCTGAGCAGCTGGATTAGTGCCACTGTGCCCATTGGGGTTCATAATTTTTATTGTTTTGCAAGACACTTTATCTTAAAATACAATGAAAAATTTGTTAGTAGCACTTGGGTAAGCATTAGTCTTAGAACCTTACCTTCAGGACTGAGGAAAAAAAAAAACATTGTCAATTTTCTAATTTTAGCATGTTTAACATACTTTAGTGAAGTAATTTCGGTTAAGTACAGCTTTACCAACTTATCTTACATCTGGGATTCTCTGTTCCTTTATTTGATCCTAAATATGCCTATTACATGCAATTGCATTGCATTAATTAGTAGAACAAATTACATGTCCAGATATTTCTCGTTTTAATCATTATTCTGTTTGTAATGCCTATAACAGCAAAACTCAGTCACAAATATTATAGTTTTTAAGTGATATTGTTTTAATTCTATGGAAAATTTTGATAGCTTTTTATTACAAGGAGAATAATTAATTTTGACCCTACCATTTTGCTACTTTGAACAACCATTTTTCACTGGTATTCAATTTTTCTGAGATATGTGATATGAGTACTATCATTTAACGGAATGAGTTACATAAAATCAATTAAGTCATTGAATGATTAAAAATAATCAAAATAAGTTCTTGTAAAAAGAGAACATGTTCAATTTTGTTTTGTTCTAGTATCATTGAGGTTTGGGGATTGCCAGCTCACATACTCTTATTCTACGGGGGAAAAATTATTTTCAGAGTAACAGAAATCATGGATTTTGTAAATATATTAGAATGATTAAAAAATTAGACTTTTGGTGAATATAGTAATGAGATAAGAAAGCATAATCATTTGTAATAAATCTTCCTAAGGAAGTGTATCTATCTTAAAGAGCTTTCTTCATTCTCTTTGTAGAAAATAACTTAAGATGCTGAATGTTTAAAGGATATTAATTCAATTTACTTGGGGTTTTTATTAAATAAAATGTTCAATTATTAACGAAATATATTTTAAAACATCTCATAAAATCTTACGAACTAGATCAGTGGAGTGTTGGTCTAGTTTAATACCAGGTGAACAACTAGCTCTCTTATGTAAAAAAAGGAGACCCAGATTTACCATATGTGCTGATTTCCATAGTGTGACTATTCCCAACATGGCCATTTTGAACTATCTGTGGGACATAAACTGGCAGGAAAATTCTACTTTTTAAATTTTTATTTGTTTTCATTAACACATCAATTAACCTCAAGAGATGCAAAGAAGCATTTGATAAAATTCATGATAAAAGCTTTGAAGAATTTAGAAGGATCATGCTTCATCAATAAAAAAAATCATATATGATAAACCCACAACTAAAATCTTATGAATTGTGAAAAATCTGAAAGCATTTTCTCTAAGAAACCAGACAAGGGTGTCTTCTCTTGCCACTCCTATTCAATGCAGTACTAGAAATTTTAGCCAGAGCAATCAGGCAAGAGAATGAAATAAAAGGAATATGAATAGGAAAGAAGGAAGTAAAATTATCCCATTTACAGGAAAATTTTTTTAAAATTAAATAATTTGCTCTCATAAGTTTAGATGGATTGGTTTAAAACTCTCCTTATTTATTTATCTATTTATTTGTTACCAGGAAATGAACTCAGGGGCACTTGACCACTTAGCCACATTCCCAGCCATATTTTGCATTTTTATTTAGAGACAAGATCTCACTGAGTTACTCATCATCTCACTTTTTTTCTAGATTTTTAAAATTTATATATGACAGCAGAATGTATTCTAATTCTTATTACACATATAGAGCAAAATTTTTCATATCTCTGGTTGTATATACAGTGTATTCACATCAATTCGTGTCTTCATACCTGTACTTTGGATAATAACCTCACTGTTGCTGAGGCTGGCTTTGAACTCTGGATCCTCCTGCCTCAGCCTCCTGAGAAGCCTTTAATAGTGTCATTTTTTATATCAATAATTTTAAAACATTTCCTTGAAAATATCAGCATTATACAAAATCAAGCATCACCAGGACTTTTTATTATAATGTTACATAGTTACTTGAGTAGACCTATAAAACAAGTTTTAGAACATTATGTTAAACATTGTGTTATCCTGCAATTCTCTAAAATGTAGGAAAACATTTTATACTAAACACCTGTTTATTTTTTAAAAAACTGAAAGCATCTCTGTTTTCTGATTTTAAAGTAAAACATGATTTTGATTTAAAATCAGATAATATGAAAAATTAAGGACAAAGTTGAAAAACACTATAATTTTATGGTCTAGAGATAATATTGTTTACATTTTGATATATAGTTAAGTAGATATTATCTTATTCTTCCTTCCATCTGTCCACCTTTCTTTCTTTCTTTCTTTCTCATTCTTTCTTTTCTGGGGATCAAACACAGGATAAGTATGTGTTCTACCACTGAGCCCAAACCCTGCAGCCCCAGCTTTAAGTATGTATTTTCTTACCATATCTATTCATTTTTTTTTCATGGAAGAATATTATTGTGGAGATCATCCCATTTCAGCAATGTAATTTTTTTTTCATTTTTAGTAATGGCATATAATTACATGACATTTTTAAAAAATAAACTAAAAGACTGATATTGTAAGCAGAAAGTAAGCCATTCAGTCATTGATTACCTTTCAAAAGAAGTTTGCTTTAGCCCTTATAATAAGGGTAGAATTCCATTGATTTTGCTGAAATATTACCCTGTGTGTAGGTTATTAGTTAAACTGATTCAGACAGTATTTTCTCCAAGTACTAATGGAGTCATATTAAAACAAACTGGAAGTAAATGAGGATTTGCTTTCTGTGTTATTACCTTCTGAGCCATTCTGTATCCTGGCCCTTTTGAGGTTTCTCAACCTCATGAATTGCCTAGCCCTTGTTCTTGCTCCTCATTCTTCATAAGCCTATTGTACGCCCTCAACATCACAGCTCCAAAATCTACATACTGTTCTCCTCTTTTACACACAGTGTAGAATAACCATAATATAGTAATACATTCTTCAAGTGGTCCTTTCATATACTTGCATTGACAGGATGGAAATGCAGAACTAAAACATTTAATATTTTTGTCACTGAAATTAACCTGAAGCTACATAATTAAACTTTTTGTATTATGTAAATAAGTAACTGTGTATTCAGAAGGTTCATATTTTTACCCCTTAGTATCAGAAACTTAGTATCAGAAACTTGGACTTAGTATCAGAGCAAGTCTGGCTTGACTCTGAGCTCTGTGGTATTGCTATCAGTAGAGGAGTCAGTGGGGTCTTGGTTACTCTGAGCCTGAGCACCCTGTCCTTCTTGGATGTAGATAATTTCAAAGCAAGTTTCTTCCAATTGATACATGATTTATCCACAATGAACATTTAATTTTGTTCTATAACCCTTGTCTTCTTTAACTTTGCTTTGCTGCTGATTTCTTGTTAACAACAACAAAAATATCACCTCTTAGAACACTGTTTACTTAGAAAAACAGTTGGTTTCATGGCCGCTCTCCCTTCCTGCAGCTTCACTGAAACATTTGCAAAGATTCCTGACTTTGGCTTGAACCACATTTTTCACATACACACAAAAAAATGTTTCTTGAATATACTTCCAGACCACAAGTTCACCACATCCCAGCTTTCATAAGTTTTCTTTTTTTTTTTTTCTTCTCCTTTTCCAAAGATGCCAACATTTTACATTGTGGACTTATCAATTTCTTTCTCATTTTTTTTTTTTTTACCTGAAAACCCATTTTTGCTCTGGTTGGAACATTCCCTGAAAAATTTTAATGAGTTTTGTTTTCTAGTTACTGTACCTTTCTAGTAATATACCAAGCACCTTGTAGACTCTACATCCTATTATCTAAGTCTATATCATAACTCTAAGTCACTCCAGAATTAATTTGTTTTTATCTCTTCCAAACATATTTTAGATCTTTTCAATTTCAGCATCAGAACTAGTAGTTAGTTTTCTTTTAGACAATGTTTCTCATGCCAGTAAAAAAAAAAAATCATTTCGTGAGTGTTACTACATATACAAACCTTGCTGATCTACATAGGCTAAGCCTAACTCACTGGCTAAGTGACTCACTGCAATAAGAATTAGGGAGAACAAAATAAGCAAAACTCTAACTCATTGCATCTTATAATCTTTTGGATCATATGAAGAGTGAAAGAAGCTGCAAGTGTGAAAATCTGAAATGAAAAGTATCATGTATATTACTTATAGTTATACATATAAATCCATATCATCTCCAGCATTTGTATATTTGTTTGTTTGTTTCTTCCTCAGAGAAGTGGGATAGGCATAGGTTAATGGAATCTCTTTAAAAAGCATTGAAAGTAACAGCTTGTTTTTTTTTTTTTTTTTTTTTTTAAGCTTACTCTCAGAAAGTGTAAAGAGAAAGACATTATCTTGCAGAAAAGAAAGTTTCTGTTAAGATACAACTATGGGCTTTTCTACATGTTTCTGTAGACAGTTCAGGCTTCTCTTGACATCATTTTTAATAAACAGCAATACAATCCCAGATCACTTGAGTAAATGAATGCGTTTGCAACATTCATTTGGCACCACATTCTCTTGATGATTATGGCATTTGATATGTTCTTTTTTGCCCTCTTTGTCAGCCTGGTTCTTCATGTCAATCTATAGTCTTTTATGTGGTTAACTTGACAGATGCAGGAAATTGCTGCCAAGCTTTGAAATGAATTTTTTCAGCAGTGGCATCTGGGTATCAGATGGTCCTCTTGGCTGGCCTCTTGTCTTGCTGCATGTTGGTTTTAGTGGGGTCTGGTGTAGCATCACCTGTTGCTATGCTCCCTTTTCCTCCCATATGTCCATTTTCCGTGATTCATGGATGAATGTGAGAATAAAAACTCCAGTTCTGTCTTTATTTGAGAAAAAAAAAGTCTACAGAAATATGTTAGAAGGTGCAGAGTTCTCTCTCTGACAAAGGGATAGTTCCCTTTGGCTGGCATGCCTATCAGCTAATAATTTGGTTACAAAGACCAAGTTTTTAAAGGCACTTCTAATGAAAGGCAAGAATAAAGTTGCTGATTAATTAGTGGAAGTGCCAGAACGAGTTTATTTCCTTTGGTTTGCATAAAATCAAGATGCCCCCATTGTTGTATGGCATAATGAGGGGGAAATTGTCTTATTTTTTTATGATATATTTGTATATAACAAAGCTAGCTTTCTAAATTTTAAAAGGAAATTATTCCCTCTGAAAAAATTGTTTTGTCCATTTTCACCAATCCAGAATTACACTGTTCACATTGTATCACATTATAAAATCACTCAATAGGAGTTATAGAAAATCTCCATCATAAGGAAGATCTTCCTCCCATTATTAAATTGTAGTGAACATGGTTCCTGAGCAAGTCCAGGATGTACTAAAAGCACAAACTAGACTCTAATGTTCATCTTGTGGCCACCAGAACTTCTTACATCCTTCATCCTAGCAGCACCACAGCTTTGCTACAAGCTTCAGGGGCACATTCACAACCACTCCTTCAGATTTAGGGCCTTAAGGAGGTAGATCCTTCACTCGCCTTTATCATTGTCTCTCAGTTCCTAAGACAAAACATTTCTGGAACTGCTTAGGGCAAACTCTAAAGGAATCAAAATTTAAGTTCTATATGACAGAAGCACATCTTCCAAAATGTTTGCAGAAGGGTCAAGGGACCACATTATAGCCCTAGTAAAACACCTTCCTACTGCCTTTTAGGTTATGCTGACACCAGGATTCTCTTCCCATTTTCCAGATCTTTTAATGAAAATCTTCCCTGCATTGCTTACAAAAGAAAGTTTCCAGAATCATATCCATCAGGAACATAGTTCTAGTGAACATTTTAGTGAACTGTAGCATTGCCCCAGATATCAGTTGACTCAAGGAAGTGCATCACTGAGCTGGTGACAATATGGGGATGTGGGAGGGGGGGCTGTTAGGTGGATCCCCCCCCCACTTTTGTCATTTTTAATGATTTAGCAGGGATAAACAAAAAAGAAAGGAAGTATCAGTAACTTTGAGAATCTTTTTTTTTAAAGAAAATAATTAACAAAACAAAATAACAGAAAATGCTGTTATGACAGATATGCAACAAATAAGATTCATACTTTAGACTCTGTGAGCTTTTGTTTTAACTACAAACTGCTTGTAGTTTGACAAAACTGCCTCCAAAAAGGCCAAAGTTGTTTTATTGAAGAATTGGTCACTGCTGCTCATGGTCAGACCAAATTTAACTATTATAACTTATTTTATAATTAAAATAATTAAGTTTAATTCTAAGAGAAGTTTCAATGATATATATTTCCTTTTAAAACAAGTCAATCTGTAACTTTTATTGGTTACTTCATGTGTGTTAATTATTGTGCTAGAAACTGTGAAATATTGAGAAATTATATGGCAGATTATCTGTTCTTAAGAAACATAGTTTTATTGAGGAGCATTGAAACAAAATGAGTACAAAAGAAAAATGTGTTGTCCAACTGCTAGAATGTAATGGTACTTAATGTTCATTGAGTGCTCTCCATAGATCATACATAATACTAAATGATTTGCAAAACTAAATAATTCAATTCCCATGACAACCCAGTGATGTGCTTTCTGTTATCATCATCAGTTTTCAGAAAGGCAACACAATAGACAAAGAGATATACCTAAGGTCATTGGATGATCTGGCATTTGACCCCAGGCTGTTGGTCTCCAGAACCTATTCTTTTAACCACTTTATTATACTGCCTCTGATGCAGTGGTATCTTTGCACAATTAAAAATAAGAATTGGAACATAAAATAGGCCAACTCTTTGCTACCTCAGAGGTTTTACCCTTTAAGTTCCTGCAGGACCCAGTGAGAGAGGGAGCAGTGCTCTTGCCCATCCTCAAGTTCTCCCTCAGAGAATGGACCTAATCACCTATTTGATATCAGCCTCCTCATATCTATCCCACTTATTTT